CGAGGCTCCGGGCACCGAGGCCGCGGCGCGGAGGGGGCGGTGCCGGGGCCGAGCCCCCGTCTGGGCGGGCGCCCCACGCTCCGGGAGGCTGCGGGACTGGCGAAGAAAAATAAGCCGAGGGGGCCTGGCGCGGCGACTGGGATCCTGGCAGTGCCCGCGGAAACCTTTCCAGAGAAGTAACATTTTCCAGCTGCGCTGTGTGCAAACTCCGGGCGCAGCGGACCAGGTGGAGGGAGAGGAGGGAAGGCGGTCCGAGCGTGGAGCACGCGGGGCTACCCACCTCTCCCGTGCGGGGCCTTCCATCTCTCCCCTGCCCCGCCAGGTAGGCGATGGAGCCATGCGCCCGAGGCCTGCCCCCTCCCGTGGTCAGCCTGGTCCCAGGAACCTCTTGGGAGCCCCAGCGTGGCTGGGCCCGCAGAGCTGGTGGGGGCTTCTAGGTCCGGGGTCCGTGTTGTGGCTCCAGGGCCCAACAGCAGTCCACAGGTGGTCAGCTTAGGCCAGGCAGCCGCCTCCCCGGCCCCTGTGGCCTGTGAGTGGAGCTGCTGGCCCTCCCCTGCCTCAGCTTCTGCTGTTTAGTAGCCAGTGTCTTGCGAACAGGCCTCCGCCAGGTGAGTTAGGGGCTCTGCCTGGGGTGCTGTAGAAATTTGAACTCTAACTGAATTTGAGAAGTACTGTAGGAAGAAAGTGTCCAGCCCATAGCTGACACTCCGTGGGCACATCAGAGCAGGCTTCCTGGAGGAGGCAGTACAAGAAGTGATCTGAGAATAAGGAACCAGAAGCAGAGGCAGGGGCCAGAAAACTACAGGGTGGATGCATTTCCCCTGGTCAGTCAGGAAAAGAAGGATGAGAAGCGTGGACTCAAAGGCACTAAGTTGGGATCTCAGAAGCCTCAATGCCAAGAAAAGGAGTTGAGAGGCAGTGAAGGAGTTGGAAGAGGTGGGGAATGTGGCAAGGCCCTTCAGGGGGAGTCCAGGGTGGGCTTCTTCTCCAGGTAGGGAGAGCAAACTTCAGACCACAAGAAGGGCAGGCACACCAGGCTGTGCGTAGCCCAGTGACCAACCCACTGGGGAGGCTGGGATTGGAGAGACTAGCAGTGGGGCTGGAGCCCAGGCCAGGGGTCCTGGTTCCCAGGTCCAAGGAGAAGGGGTAAAAGATAGATGGGGGTCTGGTCTCCTGCTGATGCCCACAGATGGGGGAGGGGGAACAAGAGCGGGCCTGGCCCACACCAGATATTTCAAGGATGCTATTCTCCCCTGCAGAGCCCTCTGCGCCTACGTGGTGCACAGAAATGTGACCTGTGTCCTACAGGAGGGAGCAGAGAGCTACATAAAGGCTGAGTACCGGCCGTGTGGATGGGGGCCCAAGTGCCCCGGGACAGTCACGTGAGTGCACCCCTATCCCACCCCCTCGGGATCCCTGGGCACAAGCCCCAGGCCTGCCTTCAGCTAGGAGCAGCCAACTCCATCCACAAGGGCTGAAACTCCTTGGACTCCAGAGAACTACCCCAGCCCCCACACAGGCTGGATGGAGGGGGCCAGGGGGGAATCAAGGGCAGGCTCAGGTTGGAGCCCACAGGGGGACCAGGGGAGGGTTCCCAAGGAGAGGCAGCACAGGCAAGGAAGAAGCAGCAGAGGCAAACGGGGTCAGGCAGTGGGGGAGACAGGGGAGAGCAGAGGGCCACACTGGCAATGGTTGATGCCAAAGGGGGCCCTGGGCAGACCCAGGGAGGGCTGCTGTGACCAGGGAGAAGGCAGGCCAAGGGTGAGGGGATGGAAGCCAGGTTGTCGGTCTTAGGCCAGACAGGTGGGACTGTGTGAGGACTTGTGGTATTGCCCACACCTGTGATGCACAGGTCTGTACTTGGAGAGGTTCAAGTGTATGTCTGAAAACTAACCTCTTTGCTCCAACGTGTCAGTGGGTGAACAGGTACATGGCTGAACAGGTGAGGGAGGGGCCCCTGCTGAGCACTGCCCTGCCCCCCCTGGGTTTTCGCCTCTGTGCTCAAAATCAGAGGTGCCCTTCCGCCAGCCTCCATGACCAGAGCTGAGTTCCTGGAGTAGGCTGGGGAGGAGCGGGAAGAACTAAGGGGAGCTGATGGGAGCCAAGAGTGGCCCCCAGGCAGTGAGAAGGGCCACCCGCCCCAGCTCCAGTGCAGTACCCCCTCACCCACCCATAGGGGAGGGGCTGGGGTTTTGTCAGAATTCTTCAAGGTTCCACCAAAGCCAGAGTGGAATTTCTGATGCAGTATGAGCCAGAGGGGGTCCCAGTGGTCTTGGGAGCGTTGGGGCTAAATCCCCACTAGCCGCCTCCCCAGGCAAACAGGATGGGCTGGGGCTTCTACCTGCGCTGTCCCCTGACCCATCTCTGAGCCTCTGCAAGGCCTGCTTCCACCCCATCACCTTAAGCACAGAAAAAGGAAAAACACTGGCGGTGTTGTGGAGGCGGGGAGCCATCTAGACCTTATACAAGTGTCTGAGAGTAGCCCTCAATACCAGCCAGGGGGCAAGGTCACTTGCCAGGAGCCTCAGCCCACAGGTACAGGGCTCTGCCGTCTCCCCATCCCTGGCCCAGGTACCGCACGGTGCTCAGACCCAAATACAAGATTGGCTACAAGACAGTGACGGACCTCGCCTGGCGTTGCTGCCCTGGCCTCGCTGGAGAAGGCTGCCCCGAGCACCTCACGGACCACGGGGCCACCCCACCCCAGCCAGAGCCTGAGCCTCAGATTCCCTCCGGACAGTTGGGCCCAGGTCCCAGGCCCCCTCCTTCTAGCAGAGCAGCCCCTAGCCCCCACGGTGAGTCTGCCTTTGGAGACCCTACCAAGGTGATGGGGTTTGTTGGCGGAGGTGGGGAGGGGACTGATGCAGGCTGGCTGAGCTCTGGCAGGGCTGGGGAAGATGCATCTCATGCTGGGCATGAGGGTGAGCCCCCAGGGCCCCTTCCCAAAGCTGAGGAAGCTGTGCCCCACCAGAAGGTTGGCTTAGAAAAGAAAATCTCTCCGGTGGCCTGGCAACAGGATAAGTTGAGAGCCAGGTCAGTGATGCCCCCGGGCTTCTTGCTTCTTCTTTCCCAGGAAGGAAAGGCCCAGGGCTGTTTGGTGAGCGGCTGGAACGCCTGGAGGGTGATGTCCAGCGCCTGGCACAAGCATATGGTACCCTCAGTGGCCTGGTGGCCAGCCGTGAAGACCCCAACAGGATGACTGGTAGCCCCAGAGCTCCTGCCACCCCCGTGGGCTTTGGGGTCATCCCTGAGGGGCTTGCGAACCCTAGAGACAGAGCTGGAGGGCCACTCACACCTCCCCTGGACGAGATCTTGAGCAAGGTGACAGAGGTGAGCAACACGCTCCGGACCAAGGTGCAGCTGCTGGACGAGGTGCACGGGCTGGCCCTTGGGCATGAGGCTCACCTGCAGCGGCTGCGGGAGGCGCCCCCGTCTCCGCTCACCTCCCTGGCACTGCTGGACGAATATGTGGACCGAAGGCTGCACCGACTCTGGGGGAGCCTGCTAGACGGCTTCGAGCGGAAGCTGCAAGCCGTCCAGAATGCATGTGACCTGCGGGTGCAGGAGGTGCGGCAGCAGTGCGAGGAGGGCCAGGCGGCCAGCCGCAGGCTGCACCAGAGCCTGGATGGCCGGGAGCTGGCTCTGCGCAGGGAGCTCTCACAGCTGGGGACCCGGCTGCAGGGCCTTAGCGTGGCTGGTGGGGGCAGCTGCTGCAGCCAGCTGGCCTTGATCAGTGCCCGTGTGGACAGCCTTGAGAGGAACCTGCAGGGAGTCACAGAGACCCAGAGGGGCCACAGTCCCCCCACCAGGGATGAGCTCACACGGCTCTCTGCCGCCATGCTCGAGGGGGGTGTGGACGGGCTGCTTGAGGGCCTGGAGACCCTCAATGGGTCGGAGAGTGGAGCTAGGGGCTGTTGTCTGGGGATGGAGGAGGGGGGATGGGGTGTGCGTGGCTTCAGGACCATGCTGGAAGAGCGTGTGCAGAGCCTGGAGGAGCGCCTGGTGACACTGGCTAGGGAGCTCAGCCATGACAGCACCCCCCCAGGCAGGTCAGCACAGCCCCTGGTGCAGACGGAGCTGGCTGTGCTGGAGCAACGGCTGGTTTCGCTGGAGACCTCGTGCACCCCCAGCACGACCTCAGCCATCCTGGACAACCTTGTGGCGGAGGTGAAGGCCTGGCAGAGCCGGAGCGAGGCCCTCCTACACCAGGTGGCCAGCCACACGGCCCTGCTCCAGCAGCTCAATGGCACCGTGGCCGAGGTCCAGGGGCAGCTGGCAGAAGCGACAGGCAGCTCACTCCAAGGCGAGATCACCCTGCTCAAGGTCAATCTGAACTCCGTGAGCAAGTCACTCACAGGCCTCAGCGACTCAGTCAGCCAGTACTCCGATGCCTTTGTGGCTGCCAACACATCTCTGGATGAGCGGGAACGCAAGGTGGAGGCCGAGGTCCATGCCATCCAGGAGCAAGTCAGCAGCCAAGGCTCACGGCTTCGGGCTGGCCACAGGCAGGTCCTGAGCCTGCGGGGGGAGCTGGAGCAACTCAAGGCTGGTGTGGCCCAAGTGGCGGGTGGGCTGAGCCGCTGCCAGGACACAGCCCAGGAACTCCAGCACGCAGTGGGCCACTTCAACCAGAGGGTGGCCGAAGTGGAGAGTGTGTGCGGGAAGCTGAGCCTGCTGGCTGCGGGCTTGGACAGCTTGCCCACAGAGTCACTCAGGCCCGGGGAGGGCCTGTGGGACCATGTGGACCAGCTGAATCGCACGCTGGCCCAGCACGCACAGGACATTGCCCGCCTCCGAGATGACCTGCTGGACTGCCGGGCCCAGCTAGCCGAGATGGCACGGCCAGGGCAGGCCGACTAGGCGGGCTGGACAGGACCCAACTCCTAGATCCTGCCATCACCCCAGAGCCCAGACTGTGCCTCCTAGCCTCCCTTGGCCAGCATGGATGCCATTTCAGAGGCCACTGAAGGAACAGTCTTGGTCCAGCTCCATGTGACTGTCCCAGGCACCAACTTCCACGCTCAGTGCGGCACCAACTAGATATTCAGGATAGCGGTCAAGGCAAGTACATCATGCCTGAAGGCCAGGGTGGACCTAAGGAGCCTCACAATCCAGTCTGCAAATTGCTCTTCTGCAGATACACTAGAGTCGGCACCTGTGCAAAGACCCGCAGGTCCGTTCTCAGACCGTGGACTGCCCACAGCTCCCTTTGCCCACAGGTAATAGCTCCCAGCCTGGGGAGACTTCTGGTTCCCTTGTCCCCCTGGCTTCTCTCCCCAGCTCGGTTTCTGCAGGAAGGTGCTGCCCTTTGGTACTTCCTCACACCTGGCAGCTTCATGGATGCTGTTTCTGAACCAAGGACCGGAGGTGTCCACCGCCCCACAGGTCCTCCTTCAGGACGGACAGAAACACAAGGACTCAGCCGAGAGTTCTCTTTATTCCTTTTGATCCTCCCCCTGGGTGAGGGCCTAGGCAGCTTCAGAACCCAAAGGAAAGGATGGGGTCCAGGCCATCTGTTTGGAGACTCTGCCCCAATTTATGCTTTTTCTTCCCTCTCCAAAGATGTTTTCAGGGCACTCTGGTCCCCACACAGTCCTCTTCTTTCCACTTGGGGGGAAATCTCCCCCCGTAGGGTAGGGCCTCTCTCCAGAGAGCACCCGTCATGTATGTCATGGCCTAAATGAGGCCAGATCCTGGGCAGGAGGCCACAGCTGGAGGGAGAGGGCTCCAGGCCTAGTTTCCAACATCCTTGCAAAACCCCAGCCCTGCCTGGATGTTCACAAAGTGGTGAGAAATTCAGGTACGAGGCCACCAAGGGGCAGCCTGAAAACACAGTGTTCATCTGGCCCACGCAGTTCCCAGAAACCCTGAGGCCAGCTCTGCGGAGGCTCCTGGCCTTGGTTTCCTCACAGCAGCATGGGCCCTCCTTGCTGTTTGCAGGTCCCTGTAGCCCTGCCTTCTGGTTTCTCGACATGTGGTATTCTGCCCTCTGCTGTGGTGCTGTTGCAGGGGGCAGGCCTGTATTAAAACTTTTAGCCCATCTAAGGTACTTTCTTCCCCAAAGACAGTGGGAGGGAAGGCTGCAGTGGGGTGTCAGCCCTGCCTCCCACGGCTCCTTGGGTGAGAGCTAGCTCAGCAGCTATGTGGGCACTGAATTGACCGGCAAAGACTAGGGGAGAGCAGGTAGGTCAACCCCCACCTGCCCTGGCAGGGTTGGGTCCTCAGGGTTGGAGTTGAGGGGAGCAGGGGCAGCAGCTGGGTGCAGGCTAGGCCAAGTGGGAGTCACACTCCCTCCGCCCTTTCACTGCCCCCGAATCCCCCTCACCAGATGGCAGAGGGACACTGAGCGTGTGGGGTTGGGATGTTCTGATGCCAGGGTACCAGCGAGGGAGAGCAGTGATGTCTGGCTCAAGAGCTGTGGGAAGCGGCCAGAGCTATGGAAGGGTCTGCCTTCAGAGGGTGCAGTCTAGGTTCCCCAAAGCGGGTGGGGAGCATTGTCTTCTTGCCAGATGCTACTGAACCCCTCTCTCCCCACTGCTGCCGCCAACCCTCCCCTGTGCACACAGGCCTCAAGCCTCACTGGGGCCTCCCTCTTCTCTCTGTCCTATCAGGAGGTGAGGCAAAGTCCCAGGGTGACAGGGACAGAGACATCAAGGGCATGGAGAACCCTGCAAGGGCCCAGGTGACAATCATTTAACTGCCACAGGCCAGGGCCACACTGAGGCCTGGAGCAGCTGCCCCACCCCCTGCAGCTCAGCTGGCCAGAGGGAGGAGACAGGATAGGGAGGAGGGGGCTCTCTCTGGCTGCCAACCAGCCTGCAGCCCCGTCCTCCCCTTCGGTGGGTTGGCCCTGTGGCACCCAGCTTCCAACCCTCTATGCCCTGGGACACCCGGTCAGTTCTGGGCCTGGCCACGGAGAGGGGGCAGCCAGGAAAGGTTCAGGCCAGGGCATCAAGGTCCACCGTGGTCAGTGGCTCCCGCCAGTAGCAGAAGTTGCTGTATTCAGGGTTGGCCAGGTCTGTGCTGGGGCCACGGGCCACGGGCGGGAAGAGGAGCTCCACCACCTCCCCGAGCCGCTCATACCTACGGGCAGAACGGGGCCAGCACTGAGAGCTCGAGCTGCCACTGGGCCACGGCCTCTGTCACCAGGCAGAGACACCGCATCCTGCCTGGGAGCCCAGGGCAAGGGATGGAGTCCCCAGTGGGGAGGCAGAATTGGGGCCCAGGGAGCAGCTGGGGCAGCAGGGCGTGGGGGTCATGGCAGGGTTGGGCCTCACGTGGATTTGTGGTTCTTCATGAGCTCCTGGATGAGCTCTCCCCGGGGGTTGACAGTGAAGATGCGAGAATCAGGTAGGCCCACCTGCTGGTAGGCAATAACATCCTGTGGGAGACAGGGAGAGGCTGGTGGGCTAGGAGGTGGGGAGGAGGTGGCTCAGCGCACAGGGAGGGAACACACTCACATTAGGCCTGTTCCCAAAGGCGGCATAGAAGGGCTGTCTGTGGGGCAGAAACAGCTGCCGGATGTCACTCAGGCAGGCGATCTTGAACACCTCTGGCTTTTTCTCAATCACCTCCCTGGGGCAGCCAGGGGCATAGCAGGGAAGCCAAGGTGGGTAGCAGTCAGAGGATGGCAGGGTCTGGTGACGTGGAGTCTGACCCAGCTGACACCCGAGCGAGGCCTGATGCTGGCCTGGCCTGGACTGGTAGTGGACCTGTCACTCCCCCCAAGGGGCCATGGACTTGTACTGTGTAGGGTGGTTACCTGTGGAGGGCAGAGACGAGGCTGCTGGGAGACAGCAGGAGGGGGCCCTTGGGGAGGCCGCAGCCCCGCTCGCTCACCCACTGCAGGTACCCCTTGGTGAGGTCAGCCATGCTGATGGCCCGTGCTGAGCAGTACAGGAACTTGTACCCGTTTCTGGGGGTGGGGGACAGGGAGGCACATCAGAGATCAGCCAGCCCCCATCCTGCCCTTTTGGCTTGGGCCAGTTCAGCCCAACGCTGGGGCTCTGGCCTTCAAACCCGGAGGCCTTTGCGGGGAGGAGATTTAGGGACAAAGCTGGGCCAGGCCTGAGAGAGGTGGCCTCAGCAGCTGTCCCCGGTAGAAGGCACATGGACAGAGTCCTGAGGCCCAGGTCACCGTGATGGACAAGGCTTTGAGCAAGTCTGTAGGCTTCCTCTACAGCATGAAGGCCAGCAGTTAGACTCAGATCCCAGACCACAGAAGACTTCACAGGAGAACTGACGACTAGTAGGTAGGTCTCAGCAGTCCAGGGACATGCCCTGGCTTCTTCCCTGTGGGCCTTGCTGGTCCCCAAGCCTGGCTTCCCGGGGCAGAGGCCAGGGTGGCCTAAGATGCCCTGTCACTCCCTCCCTGGGGCCCGCCCCAGCCCCAGCCCGGGCACTCACAGGTGGATTTTGTGGTAAAGACTGGTGATGCCCTGGTGTGTCCAGTCTTTCCCTAGCTGGGGCAGAATGTGGCCCAGAGCGTCTGACCTAGAGCCACAGAGGAAGGGTCACTCCAAGGCAGCCCCACATGGCCCCCATGTTCTATGCGTGGGGCCCAACGAGGCCCAGCCTTCAGCCTCAGGATGGCCCACTGGGAGAGGAGGGCCTCTCTCCCTATCCCCCATCGCAGCACAGAGGGACGTGGGTCCCTAGGCCCTTCCTTTCTCCCCCCAGCCAACCGGGCCTCACTTGGTAATGGTGCCATCAATGTCCGAGATGACCACCTTGTCATCCCATTTCCACAGGTAGATGGTGGCCTTGCAGCGGCAGGTGCCCTGGTACTGGGTGGTCACGCTGAAGACCACATCGTTGGCACCTTCTTGCAGGTTCAGGCGCCGCTGGGGCGGAGCAAAGGGGGGAAGCTGTGATCCACCACAGCTGGGTGCCATCCAACCCCCACCACCCCAAAGTGTGGCCTCTGATCCCCATGGGCCTCTCATTCTCCTCTTCCTCCCAACCCAGAGAGCCTGCCTGAATTCATCAGAGACAGCCATGCGCAGACATCCTCATGGGCGAGGGCACCCTCAAGGAGGAAGTGAGGGGGTGCTGGTGGTGTGCCCCTTTGGGATGAAGCTCACAGACAAAGCCTGGCCCCTGACTCCTGCCCAGGTTTCTCAGGTCAGCCCCAAGGTCGGCACTGCTCTTGGCAGGGAGACACCCCACTCTATAGAAGGGGCCCTGCAGGGATCTTCACTGGCTGGGGCTAGGGTACCTGTGACATCCCCCTAAAGAGAGACCTAGCCCCGTCCTTGGTCCATAGAGAAGGATCAGGGCAGCTCTCAGCCACAGCCAGTGACCAAGACTATCAGGCCCTGGCTGACCCCAAGATGGGTGTGAGCTCCTGGGTACCACACAGATGGCAGCTGCTCTGTACCAGGCCAGCCAGACTCTCCTGGACCCTTTCCTAACCACCGAGACACACTCAGGAAGAAAACGTTTTTATCACAGGAGCCACCAGTTACTGAGCTCAAAGACATGACTCGGGGGGCCGGGGTGTCATTGGCATTTGAGTCCTTTAGTGTAGCTTCCAGAGGGAGACCCAGAGCCAGCTGACCCACTACAGGTAGATATTTTAGGACTACACGAGAGGGAGCTTTTCCAGTGAGCATCCAACAGAGAAATGGGCTGGCATGTAAAGAAGTGAGCTCCCTGCCCCTGGAGGTATGCAAGCAGAAGCCATCACAGGGGCTGCCAACAGGATGGATTCTGGGCTTTGGTGAATGCGTGGCTCTATAAAACCGTTCCTAGCCAGGCCACGAGGGGCTCTGGGACAGAATTCTCTCAGCCCCTACTCCCCACACACATGAACACACCCATTCACACACTTACGATCTGATCGGAGGAAAGGCGGAGGGACTTCTTGTAGGTAGGAGTGTAGGCTGGAGGCGAGGGTGGTGGGGAGGGGGCCTCGAGGATCACAGGGCTGTCTGGGGCATCATCCTCACTGCTCAGGACATCAGTTTTCTCCCTGCGGGCAGCCCGGCTCTCAGGCCACCTCCCCCAGCCAAAGGCCCTGCCCTCCAAGTAGATGCTCACCCCTTGGCCCAGGCCACAAGGAGCCTGGGGCTTGTCCTTGCCCTGCCAGAGACTACCCAGGGGATTAGAAACCCTTCCCTCTAGGTGCCATCCATTTTGGGGGGTGGTAGCAGACACAAGGATGCAGCTTGGCCGTCTACACCCAGAAAGATGACAGCAGAGCCAGAGCTGAGACCCAGGGCTTCCAGCCCTCAGCGCGCTCTCCACAGCCAGGACGCCAGTACCCGCTTTGGAGAAATTTACCTGAAAAACCTAGAAGTGAGTCTTAGGGTTTATTCCCAGTCCCACTTGCTTTGGCTTCAGTCAGCCTGTCCGTGATCACGCCCCACCCAACCTTCATTCTGGGTCACTTCAGACATGAAAAAAGGAAGCAAGGTCAGCCAGCTCCTGGTGGAGAGGGGAGGCCCCGCTCCTCCTTAATACGGTCTGAGCCAGGAGTCTGGGCACCCCTTCTAGCTGTGCCACTTCCTGGCTGTGGGACCTTTGGTGTATGTCTAGGTCTCAGTTTTTCCATCTGTGAAATGGGGACATTTCTCAGGAAAAAAGAAGGGATGTAGAAGTGATTGAGGAATGACAAAGAACCATGGCTGGGGAAGGGGTGCTGGCTGCACACCTACCCGTGCCCCCACAGCCATCTTCCCCAGCCTCTGGCTCCAGCTGCAGAGCCCCAGCCAGGAGGTCCAACTCACCCCGGCTGCTCTCTGGCTGTGGTTTTCTTCCTCTGGGCACTGTGCTGTGGGAAGAACATCCATCCAGTGAACCCCACCTCCTGCCTGTGCTGGCCCCGCCCTGTGACCATGACCACCCACCTCCTCGGCCGGGAAGTCCCTGCGTCTCCAGGAAAACCACCACCGCCCTCCCTTGCGGGGCATCTTCTCCTTCTCCAACTTGTCCATAGTGCTCTGTGGGCAGATGAAGGCCATGACACTTTTTCATGCACCACACAAACCCATCTTACATTACCTTCGGGGGCCCCATGAGCCCAGCATCTGGGGCCGACCCTAGAGCAAGGTGCTATCAACATCTGGAGGTTGAGGAGCATATGCACCTCCATCCTGGGACTCTGAACAATGACTCATGGAACTAACCAAGGGCCGCTCCTGCCCACCCTCACTCCACCCCAGCCCTCACCCCCTAGCTCTAGCCCAGCCTTGGCCTGGCCTCCAAATCTTGTGGATCAGTCTCCCTACTAGAGTAGCTGAGGGCAGAGCTTTGAGAGTTTCTCAGGATCTGGTACTCCCTGCATGATGCCACCAAGTGGCAGCAAGAAGGACAGTCTGTAGCTGGTACTCCCCTTGACCTCCAAGACCAGCACAGGCAACTCCTAAGGTCAGTGATCCTGTCTCATGGACAGCCTCCCTCTCTGTATGTTACCATCACTGTCTGGTGGGGGCAACATGACCTTGTGGAAAATGCTGATTAGATTTGTGCTAGATAACCCCAGGGAGAGCCCAGGCCCAGGCCTACCCGGGAGACACATCAACTTCCTACAAACACAGAATGGAGAACCCAATTCAGGAGGACGTGGGCTCAAGGTGGGTCAGCCAGGGTGCTCACTTGGGCTGGGAACAGGCTAGGGGAGTCTCCCGAGGGCCTCAAGTGGTGCGTCTGTCCGAGCAGGGTGAGGAGAGCCGAGCAGGGGAGTGTCCCTCTTCCCACAAGCTCTGGCTCCTAGCTCAGACCCAGAGCCAGCCAGAGGACAGAGCTGAGCGTCACTAAAGGGAGGCACAGCTGTCAACATCTGGTCAGTGATGTTATTTGGGGAAACCTAATTGAGCTGAGAACAATAGGCCACACCACGGTGGGGCCCTGGACCACTCCCAGAGGGGCAGAGGGGCAGGTGTGGGAGGGACTGAAGAGGGGCTGAGTTCCTTCCCACCTCTGAGCATCTGCACATGCTGTTCCCCACCCATCACCTGCTTAGGGCTTACTCATCCTCAGATCTCTGCCCAGTGGACACTTACTCAGCAAACCCCGCTGTTGTTGGCTCTCAAACCACCCCAGACCTCTCCTTCCGGGGACGTACTCACAGTTGCATTTTATATTCATCTGGTTGAGTCTTTGATTAACTGTCTGCCTATGAGGGCATGACTGTCCTAGCCTGTACCTGGCACACACACAGTAGGTGCTCAACCAATGTGCCCTGATAAAGTGAGCAAGCACCCCAGCCCAGCCTGGAGAGGTTCCGGGGTAAGGTGAGGGGTGGGACCTCCATCTCCCAGGCTCCGTCTCTCAGATCCAAAAACCCCCTGTTGAAGGCGTGTCCCTGTCAATGTGCGTCCCCCTCTGCTTTGCCCTGAGCTCCTTTGAAGTTCAAATCCAATAGCATTCAGCCATGCCAGAAAACCAGGGAAGAGGGGGCTTTGTCCACACAGCATGGGGCAAGGCCTCAGGAGACCTGCATCTCCTCTCCTGGAGAGGGTCTTGTAGCTGGTCAGCCCTAGGCCCATCTCTGCCCACCCTCCACTTCCTGGCCCGAGGCTCCTCCCCCAAGGCTCTGGCCACTTTCCCCAGGAGGCCCACTGGTGGTTTAACCATTACCTTGGGCAAGTTCTTCTGGAAGGCTTGCAGGGAGAGGATCATGGGGGCGGCTACAGCCCAGTTATAATGCCTGGAGAGACAGAATGGGGTGTCGGCTGCAGCAGCCACAGGCTGTGGAGGGTGGGTGACTCTCTGGGGCTGTCAGCAGCCCAGCCTCAGCACTCACTTCTCATTGATTTTCACTACCAAGTTCGGGTCATCCAGGAGCCCAGGGTTTTGGACGAGGTCCTGGTAGGAGACGATGTGCTGATTGAACTTCTCTGGGCACAGAGGCAGAGAGTGAGGAGTGAGGCTGACACATCCCACGTGACCCGCTGCCCCAGCCCCTCCAGCTCCCTGCACTCTACCACTCGGGCCTCCTGCAGGTTGGGTCTTTGACCCAGCAGGGCTCCTCCCTACCTGAGGTTTTTGTACCTGCTGTTCCCACCCCAGGCACTTGCCATCCTGGATTCACAGGATAAGTCACAGCTCAGCGACAAGCATTTGCTTCACAGGGTCTTGGGAATGCCCCTCCCTTGCTGGCTGAGTGTGGGCTCCACAGGGCAGAGAAGGGCAGGGGTGCCTGGCCCAGCGTCACACCTCCGCTGCCCCACCCTCTGAGGGCCTCCCTGCCCTCCCTGGTCCCCTGGGCTCAGTGCCAACCCTCGGAAGGGCTTGGACCACAGTTGAACATACCCAGGGAGATGTCCCAGCTGTCAGCTAGTCCCCCACAGAGGGACAGCACTATCGTGTCCACTGTGTCCGGAGTGGGTTCTGGCTCCTGCTCGGGGTTGGGGTCCCCCAGGGGCTTCTGGCTGCTGGGTTCATTCCACGTCCTGGCCCCAAGCCCACAGTCACTGGGGGCAAAGGGGCCAACAGTGACATGAATACAAGGAGGCTGGGAGGAGGGGCCCCACCCCTCCCAGGCCCTTGATAGCCAATCCCTGGCACCGTGGGCCCTGATCCCAAGACACCCGGACACCCAGAACCCAGGCACCTGTGGGGGAAGTAAAGGGCCGCATTCTCAGAATCCAGGGAGGGCAAGTCATCCAGGTAGATATCACTGGGGCCCAGGTGCTGGCTTCTCTTCAGGGAGCCTGGGGGCAGAGGAGGGGACATCTGTAGACCTAACACATGCTCAGTAGTGTGAAGTATGTGTCCCCCATCCTTTGAGCGCCGTAAGACAGTGCTGTTCAGTAGAACTTTTTGCAATGATAGAAATGCCCTGTGTTTGCACTGTCCAATACGAGAGCTGCTAGCCACACGTGGCTACTGGGCATACTTAAAATGTGGTGTGATGGAGAAATGGAATTTTAAATGTTAATTTTAATTAATTTAAATTTAATTTTAAACAGCCACAGATAGCCTGTGAGTATCGATTTGGACAGCGCAGGCCTAGTGCCCTCCCACACTCTTAGGATAAACCCCACCACATGAGCCGGGAGTGATCCAGCCTTTGCTCCTCTCTCTGGCTTCCTCTCCAGAGCCTCTCCCCTGCTTCATTCAAGACACACCAGCTGCCTCGGTTCCTAGACGTGAAACCTCTCTCTCCTCATGGTCTTGACACTTGCTGTTCCCTCTGACTAGAATTCTCTTCCCCTGACCCTCACTTGGCTGGATCTTTATCGTCCACATCTCAGCTCAGACATTACCCGCTCAGAGAGGCCTTCCCAGGCCACATGATTGAAATAGCCTCCTGTCCCAGCCATGCTTCTGTCCCGCCTCACCCACGTCATCCTCTTCCTGGTGTATGCATCTGTCATCTGTCTGCCCCACTGGACTGTGAACCCCATGAGGGCTGGTGCCAAGCATAGTGCCTGGCACACAGTAGGTGCTCAAAACATGCTTGAAGTCCCAGAGTCCACCCAGGGCATAACATGAGGCCAAGGAAGCAGTGGGAGGGGTCGAGCCATCACTCACCTTTCCTTCTGGAGACCCCCTCTGGCTGCCCGGTGGGTACTGGGCCCTCCAGAGCGGCCCAGCTCCACGATTTAGAGGGAGGAGGGAGGCCTGCATCCCCGGACCTCCGAGTCTTGGTCTCCTCTCTCTCAGGGGCGGGGACAGGGGGACCCACCAGAGCGGGCACCTCTGTGTCTGGCCGAAGAAGGTCAGAGCCAGCCCCTGTTTGCATGATTGGGGGTCCCAAGGGGTCCACACCAGCCACAGAGGCAGAGGAGGTGCTGGGCCCTCCCTGAGGAGGAGAGGCTGCCCCGGTGCTGCCATCAGGGATCATCAAGGACTCGGGCCACTCGGCTTTGGTCACCTTCAGTCAAACAAGTGGGAGAAGATGCGGGCTGGTGCAGGGCCTGCCTCCCACACCCCAGGAGGCCTTAGGGACGTGGCCCAAGTCTCAGTCACTCCAGTCCTGACCCACAGGGGCCACAGAGACCCTGCAAGGCAGGGATGGGGGGTTGAACGGAGGGACTCACCTTAGGCAGCCTCCCCCAGGTCCACTGCATGTGGGACTCAGCTCTCAGTGGGCTGGGCTCAGGGGTCCGAACCTCTAGCTCCGAGTCGCTCTTAGGGGTTGTCAGCCCACCCAACGAGAGACTGCAGGAAACAAGAACTCAGAGGCCCCCAAGCCAGCCTGCCAGTCCCCACCCCCAGCCTGGGAAAAAAATATTTGCAACACATGTTTATGCCTCTGTTGGATCCAGAATATATAAAAAATATATAAATATTTAAAGAACTCCTACAAATCAATAATAGGAAGGCAATCCAGTAAAAAAAAAAAATGGGCAAGGTTGTGACTTCTTAATGGGTATAGGATTTCCATTTAGGGTGATGAAAAGTTGTGGAACTAGATAGGGGTGATGGTTGCACAACATCGTGAATATACTAAATGCCATTGAATTGTGCACTTTGAAATGATAAATTTTGTGTTATGTGTATTTTACCACAATAAAAAAATGGGCAAAAGATGAATAAACACTTTATAGAGGAGATATACAAATGACTGGTAAACACATTAAATGTGTTCTATGTCATTATTCATCAGAAAAGTCTGAGACCTTAGCCTTGAGTCCCTGCCCCCAGCCCACCTGGCCTCTCACCTGGCCTGGGCGGGCCACTCGCCATCAGAGAAGGAGTAGATGTCTTTGGGCTGTGGTGAGGAGTCCTCTTCCGACTGGACGCTGCTGAGAGGCCACAGGGAAAGAAATGGTCACTGACAGTTCAGGGCACCTTGGACAGGACATGGGAGCCTGGACATCAGGGCTTGGGGAAGTAAAGCATCTAAAGCCCAGAGACATCAAGGCCCTCACCCAGGGTCACACAGTATCAGCAGAGGAAACAGAGCTTGAACCCCAGTTGGCACCCCTACACCCTTGGCCGCCACCCGCTCCCCACATACCCTGGGGGCTCCGGCCTTGGCTTTTCTAGCGGGGACAGCTCACTCTCAGTGACCGCCTCCAGCTCCTCAGAACTAGAATCGGCTGCCACCGCGTCCTCCTTCCGCCTGGATTTCCTCCTGCGACGCCTCTTCTTTTGCCCTGTGGAGGCCACGCCCATGACGACGGGCTCAGGCTTGCTGGCTGTGCCCAGCTGGGAGTCCAAGGGGAACCCGCACAGGCCCCCCCAAGGGAGGGGCGATGTGCACAGGCGGGGAGGCACGTGTTCCTGTGGAGCAGATCAGGGGCAGGGCTGAGGGGACTACAGCTTGGGGGGCCACCCTTGCCCTCTGGTCATCCTGAGCCCCGCCTGAGCCCCAGGCCCTGGAATGAGCTTATCTGGGGTCAGGAAACAGGTGTGGGGGCTGGACAGAGGCGGCAGCAGCATGGCCTTGCAACTGCTGCTGGCCTCAAAGCTCCCTAACACAGATAAAGCAGCCCCAGGCCCAGGGCACATGCACCCTGGCAGCCCACGGCAAGCCAGGGTGCCGCATGAACCACACTGTCCAAGCAGAAACCTGGGCATCAGCCTCTCATCTCTTTCTCCGCCCACACCTACTTCCCCTTTAAGACTCAGCCAGGCATCACCTCTTCCAGGAAGCCTGCCCTGACTATCCTCAGCCTCAAGCTCCAACCCTCTTCACTGCAATGACCAAATAGTTTTATCATCTGTTGTTTAGTCCCCCAGCCAGGCTAGACTGGGAACCTTCTGTGAAGGCAGGGTCACCCCTCTTCTGAGTCCACTTCACAGCGTCTGGCATACAGTAGGGGCTCCATTAAAGTCTGTCAAGCTCAAACTGTTTTAACGCCTCTGCCAGCTTGTGCTGGGCCCTGCCTCCCTTCTGCAAACACCCCTCTCTTCATCCCTCACCCACACACTTCCATGTTGCAGCTGCATTGAGCTGGGCCAGATCCAGAACAAGCCATCTTATGCTTTCCAGCCCCCAGCCATTCCTCAGCACCCTCCTCTTCTCCAAGCTGCCTGGGGAAGGCCTCGTCTTCACCCTTCAGGGGCCCAGTTCAAGGGTCCTCTTCTGAGAAAACTTCCCCAGGAAGTAGAGTCAGCCCTCCCGGCCCCCCACCTCTGCCCAGGCTCCGCCAGCATATCACGAGGGCCTGATGCCAGCCCCAACTGATGCCCTGCATCAGACCCTCACTGTTGGGGTATTTCTGGGGGTGGTGGGGAGAGTGACAAGTCCCAAGACCCCACGCAGAGGGGACACCAGTGTAGGAGACGGGGCAGGTGACATCAAGGATAGAGGCACTCACCTCATCGCTCTCCAGCTCCTGGACGAAGAAGGCCTCCCCGCTGTCCCCCAGCTTCATGTGCAAGTCCACAGGCTCCCCGTTGATCTCGATGTCTACCTGTAACGGGGTGTGGTGGGGTGGGGGATGCAGGGTCCCCACTGTCAGCTCTGACTCCCACACTCTGGTCCACTGGCCTTCCAGCTGGTCCTGGAGACTTGGGCTCCCTGCTGCCCCCTGCTGCACTTGCTGGAACTCTCCCCTGACCTTGGCGGGCCTGGCTGCCCCCGACTGAGGGTCTCTGATTGCTTTCCTTCCTGAGAGCCTTGCGCCCCCGCCCCCCGCATCGCCCCATTCTCCGGGCTTTGTTGAATTTATCACTGTCTCAGAATTCTTGTTTACACCTTGGTTTCTGTGCTCCTCTCTCTCCCACACTCCATAAGAAGAAGGACATGATCCATCTTGTCACTGTTGTGTCCCCAAGCCCCAGGATGTTGGCTATGTGAACAACAGTGAGGCACTTAGTATGGTGTTTCATCTAGTTTATCTAGTTTAATCTTCACAACAACCCCTTGCGATAGCTCCTATCATTATCTCCACTTTATAGATGAGGAAACTGACGCTCGGAGGGGTTAAGTAATTCGCTGTGAAGTGACCAAGGGAGGCTATGAACCCAGAAGGTCTGAGTCCACAACCCAGCTCTTAACCACTTGGCTATACTGTCTCCACACAGTCACACTTTCCTATTAGGACTCTGGAAAGTTCACAGTCACCCCGATGTGAAGGGGATTTGGGCCCACCACACCTCTTCCCACACACCAGACTTTGGTGCTAACAAAAATCTCAGTCTTGTTCACCTGAGCCCAGTGAAGATGCACAGGTTTCCTAAGGGAGGGGAGCTAACCTTTGAGTGTCACCCACACACCTGGCCCCAGGAGAGTGTTATCAGCTCCTATTTAATTCTCCCAAATCACCCCACCATCACCAGGCAGATGAGAGCACAGCCATTTGCACAGGTGAAGCGACTTACCAGGAACACACAGGTAAGGTCTTAGAAAGCTGGAGCCAGGTCTGACAGCCCCAGTACCGGGGACTGTCCCACTGTGCTGCTTCCAGGGGAAATGGGGACCCTCTTGGACCAAAACCCCCAAACCAACCCAAAATCTTCAAAGAAAATACAAAAGAAAGGAACCCTGGCCAGAGGACAGGTCCCCACCTAAGAGAGGGCTGGTCCTCTCCTGGGACCACACTGGCTGCCCTGGCTTCAGGAGCCCACCCTGCAGCGGCCCCTCGGCTGGCCAGCACTCACCACCTTCTCCCGGGACTGCAGGACACCCAGCTTGCCGAAACGCACGTGGAAGGGCGAGCATCGGAAGGAACCGTCCACCTGCTTCACCACCAGCACGTCAATGCCACCACTCAGCGTGGCCGGGTTCAGGCCCCGGTACAGCTCCTTCACCGTCCCAAACACCGTCCCTGCCAGCTGCCCCACGTAGTTCATGGCTGGTGCTGGCAAAGGGAGGCGGTGCTGGGACGCCTGGCCCAGCTCCCTCCGTGGGGAGGCTCCGCAGCCCGATCCCTGGCTCCCCAGGCTTACGGTGAGTTGCCCTCCGAGCGCCTCCGCAGATGGGCAGCAGTTGCAGGATGGGAGATGCATCCACAGACGTGGGTTCTAGACCCGGCTCGCCCACCGACTGGCCGCGGGACTCTCGGACAGCTGCCTGCCTTCTTCAAGTGCTGATCTCCACCTCTGTCAAATGAGGGCCCGGGTAAGGCAATCCGGGTTGCCTTGTGCCTCTAAATGCCATGAGTAATGGTAACGACCACGGTGCTCAGCGGCAGGGCTCGTTTCATCTTCACCACAACCTGAGAGGCTGGCTGAGCCGGTGTCATTATTCTTGCTGACGGACAAGCCAGTTGAGGCTCAGAGAGGTGGAGTGACTTGCCCAGGATCTTGCCAGGATTCGAACCCAGGCCTGTGTGGCTGCAGAACCTGTAGTGTGAACCACTGGGATGGCCCAACTGTGGGAACAGGAGGCAGCCTCATGTTATATCAGGCCCAAGGCCCTGCTGGGTAACGGGCGACAGCCCTAAAGACTGATCTCTTCCCAGGAAGTGGGGAGGAGGGAGTCTTAGTTCTTCATCTGAAAAATGGGTTCAGCTGTCTTGCTGCCTCCTGGTCCTAGGAGTTGGGAGGGGCTTTGCTGGGTGATCGTGGCTGACTTGTGGAGAACCAAGGGTGGGGGTACCCCAGGTGCCCAAATTTTTGCCCAGCTCTATTCCTGGGGTCAGATGCTTAAGGCAGGGCATCCCCTATAGCTGGAGTGGAGGGAGCCCCCAGTTTAAGCCCCCAAACTCTAAACTCCTTCCCAGTTTCCTTGTGATGGGTAGGAAGTCCATCCATGGCCCATAGCCTGACCCCATTGTCACTAGGCCACAGTTCTCAGCCCCGAGCCCTACTCCAGAGACCTGGGCTCAGCAGGCCAGGCCCTCAGAACCACGCTCAGGCCTTGGGCTGGCCCCTGGCCCATCAAAGCTGTTCCTCCTTCCCCCAGCCAGACCAGTTTCTCCAGCTGTGGTAGCCTCGAAGAAAAGCCAGGGCAATAATGAGAGCCACCTCCACGCTGGCGTGGTGCCTGCCCTGCCAGCTTCAGCAATTGCCCCTTCCCTGCTGGCCAAGCCAGTGGCCTACAGGCCCTCTGGCTGCCAGGACCCAGGCCATCCCACCTCCACAGGCACTTCCCTCTCTCACTCTGCCTCAGAACCCCTGGAGGACCACCTGCCATGCAAGACCACCCCTCAAGGAAGTTAAGTGACTTATACAAACTCTATTAAGCTAATAGGCCATTGATGGGGGAGGGAGCGATGACTCATATCCTGATGTCCTGACACCATACCCTGGTTCCTTCCACTCCATGGTCCCAAACCACACCACAGTTGTCTGCAGAGAGGGCAACCTGGCCGGTAGCCCACCTCTGCTCCGCCCTGTAACGCCCTGTTACTCAAAATGTGGTCCATGGCCCAGGAGCATAGCATCACCTGGGAGCTTGTTAGAAACACACCTTCCCAAACATAAGGTACGACTGGAACTGCTCAAGTGAAAACTTGGGGTAAAATGAAGCTCTTTGGACTCTAAAACTGTCACTCAAATTTAATAAATATTTTATCTGCAGGGCACCCACTACATGCAAGTGAAAAATTCCACGTTGGTTTCTCCCTCCCTAACACCAAACTCTGAATACATGTCTGAGACAGAGTGACAAGGACAGATACATGGTAGGTAGGGCCCTAGACCACTGTGCCCAGGAAAAGCAGAGAGGACTCCAGAAGTTTCCAGGAATAAAGGAGCAAGCATGAGAGGGGCAGACCAGGGGTGGGGGCAAAGGTCTGCTCTGCTGGAGGCCCAGGCCTGAGCTATCTGCCCTGCTGAGGGCAAAAGAGCTGGGGCGGGGCAGGCTCAGCTCAGCCTAATACAGAGTTGCGCATCATTGCTGTTTGGGGCTGGATAATTCTTTGTTGGGGTTTGGGGGTTGTAGCATAATTAGCAGCATCCCTGGTCTCTACCCACCAGATGTCAGTAGCAACCTCCCTCCAGTTGTGACACCCAAATTGCCTCCAAACATTGTCAAATGTCTCCTGGGGGACAAAATTGCCCCCAGTTGAGAGCCACTGAGGTAGCAGAAAGAGCTGAATGGCAGAGATGGCACCCAGGGGCACTGGGTCCTACCTCTGGTCCACCCATGGAGTGTCCCCAGGCAAGGGACTTGCTGGCCTCATTCTCCATTCTATGAAACAAAGCCTCAATTTTTCAGACCCTCCTCAGCCCTAAAGTCACTGGGAGCCTAGCAATCATTCCTCTCCGTTTCCCCGACCCCACAAGTGGATGCCCCCCACATCTGCCTGTTCAGCATTTGGGGGGACTCCTGTGAGCCAAGCCCTAGGCTCCCCTCCTCTACCTGCACCCATCTCTGAAGGCATCTCCTCTCCCCAGGACCCAGCTCTGCCTCTTTGGTCTTCTCCAGACAGAGGAGAGCTCTGCTTGGCTCCCCTATACCACCCTTCACCCCAAATTAACATGTCTAAAATCAAACACTTCATCTTCTCCCTGGGGACCTTGGTCAGCTGAATTCCTCTCAGGACTCTTGGGTACCCCTCCCTCCTGAGCCCTCTGAATCCTATTCCCCAATTTGCCCCACATCCAGCCCCTCCTTTCTCCTCCTGCTGTTCTAGGCCAAGGCTTTATTACCAGATGCCGAGATCCTGGGTGGCAGCCGGACACTGTGGGTAAGGCACCAGACTGTGTGGGTTCTAATCCCCTCCCTGACACTTACCAGCTGTGACCTTGGGTAAGTCACTTCACCTCTCTGAGCCTCAGTTTCAGCCTGTTACAACACAAGGGATGCATGAATAATTAATGACATAATTCGTGTAAAGCACTAACATGTAATAAATGCCCATATGCATCACCTATCAGCAGCAGCATCTTTTTGTGGCATCCTGACAGCCCCTCTCACCCAGGCTGGTCCTAAAGACACTTCGGGTCAGACTCCAGTGCACTGATCCTGCCCTGAGTTGAGAGTTTAGACTTCGTAATGTGGCATTCAAGGACCTGCACAAGGGCCAGCCAGGAGGCGTAGTGGTTAAGTTCAGAGCGCCCTGCTTCGGAGGCCCAGGTTTGCAGGTTTGGATCCCGGGCATGGACCTACACCACTCCTCAAGCCATGCTGTGGCAGCGACCCACATACAAAGTAGAGGAAGACTGGCACAGATGTTAGCTCAGGGCGAATCTTCCTTAAGCAAAAAAAAAAAGAGGAAGGTTGGCACAGATGTTAGCTCAGGGCTAATCTTCCTCACGCAAAAAAAAACAAAAACAAAAGGCCCTGCATAATGGTGGCCCCACGGTTTGCAAGTGAGCAGGTGCGCTCCAGGCAGGCCTCACAGGGTGCCCAAGCCTCAGAGCCCACTGTGGGAACATCTGCAGGCCTCCCAGGCCAGTGCACAACCCCACCACTGGGAAGCCAGAGCAAGGTCTGAGCTCTCAGCCTTTCTGGGCTCCAGATTTAGGGAGGGGTGGGGGTGTGGCCCTCCACCTAGGACCTTTCGGAGCAGGAGGATAAACATTCCTATTACCTTGGAAAGGAGAAATCTCCACCCCTAGCTCCTCAGAGGCCTTCACAGCTACTGCAGCTGACCCGCCCAGTCTCATGGCAGGCCGGGCAAGGGTCAGACCCTGTTTTGCAACTGAGGACACTCAGTACCAGAGAGGGTGGGTGTCCTCCCCAAGGTCACACAGTCAGCCTGGGATGAAGCTGGCCCAGCCTCCCCAGAGGTTTTTGCAGCTCATTCTCTCCTGATCCAACATTCTGGATGTCCGGAGAGTCCGCAGCCGCTGGGCCGCCGAGAGAGACGAAGTGTGGCCGGCCCCTCCACCCCTGAGTTCCCTTCTGATGGCTAGAGATGGACTCAGGCCCTCGAACAGAAAGGATCGAGGGTCGGATGGCAGGACAGATGGGCGGAGCGGGGCGGGGCGGGGGAAGGGTACCTCTTCCCTGGCCCGGATTGGGCCCTACCTGGGGAGCTGCCCACTGGACCTTCGGGACGCGGAGCCACTGCCTCTAGCTGAGTGCACACGGTCAGCAAGTAAGAGTCCTCGGCCCCGCACTCACTTGGCGCTTCCGGCTCCTCTAAGACAGGGTAAGATCCTGGCTCCGCCCCTTCCACGAGCCAAGGGCTGTCTCCGCTGGACCCAATCCGTCCAGGCTCTACCCCCCGAAAAGACCCCGCCCCCGCCCAGTCCTTACGCCCAATGGCGCCCTTTCACAGATAGAGGCGGGGTGGAGCCGGGCTTCAGGCTCCGCCCACTCCGGCTCCGCCCCGCCCCGGCCCGGAGCCCTGGAGCTGCTAGATGGAATGTCTGAGTGGCCCACCACCAGCCCCACCTGCGGAAGCAGCGGAAATGCGGGGACTTTCGAATCGAGCCGACCTAGGCCCTCTTGGCTTTGCTTCCAGCTGGCTGTGTGACCTTGGGTAAGTTCCTTCCACAATCTGAGCCTGTTTTCTGCTTTGTCAAAGGGGATAGCCACCTTGCAGGATTTTCGAGATTACGTAAATGACTTTGTGAGGTGTCCCCTCCTCGGAGGCAGCTTCTCTGACCCTCCATCCCCCACCCCACCCCACAGACTGGACGGGACCCTGGTAATCATACGCTCACATAGCCCACAGTTGTAATTTCATATTTGCTTGGATGACTATTTTATTATTGTCTGCCTGTTTATTTGAATTTGAACTATGTAAGGGCAGGTCGCCCTTGAACCCCAGAGCCCAGTTCAGTGCCTGACATACAGCAGGAGCTCAATAAATGCCCTCTCCATTCCATCCATCCGACGCACTGGTGGAACGGCAGCAGGCTCAATACCGCCACTGGCCAGCAGAGGGCAGGCGGTGACCAGCCTTCTCGCCCAGCTGAGCATCCTTTCCGCCCGCAGGCGCCCCGCGAGGGGGGGCGGGGGGGGGGGCAAGTGACCCCAGGTGCTCGCACTTTTGAAGGATAGGTCAGCCCGTCAGCCGCGGGCGAGGTTCCGGCCGCGGTTTTTCCCTTTGGATTTGTGGTTCACAGCCTGTCCTGTATCAAAGACCTCTCCAGCAACCTGTGAGGATGTATGGCCCCTGCAAAGATGTACTGAGAAGGATCAGGAGGTGAGGGAGTTTGTGGTAAAGAGGGAGGGCACGGAGCAAAGTCTTGGAGAGGTGGGGCAGGATGGCAGAGAGCCAGACTTAGAAAATACTGGGTGTGGGCCGGCCCCGTGGCTTAGTGGTTAACTGTGTGCGCTCGGCTACTGGTGGCCCAGGTAGGGATCCCTGGCGCGCACCGACGCACCGCTTCTCTGGCCATGCTGAGGCCGCATCCCACATACAGCAACTAGAAGGATGTGCAACCATGACATACAACTATCTACTGGGGCTTTGGAGAGAAAAAAAAAAAAAGGAGGAGGATTGGCAATAGATGTTAGCTCAGGGCCGGTCTTCCTCAGCAAAAAGAGGAGGATGAGTATGGATGTTAGCTCAGGGCTGATCTTCCTCACAAAAAAAAAAAAAAAGAAAATACTGGGCAGTAGGGAGTAAGAGGTGGCTGCCATTGTTCTGTGACCCAAGATGACAGGGCCTGGTAGGAACTTCAGTTATCCTTGCTTTTGCAAAAGTCATTTCATGTCAGTCCCAAACCCAGGCAGTGTCTGGCTGGTATCTCAGAAGAGCCCTGTTGGGAGCAGAGGTATCTTAAGGTGGCCAGAGGGCAGTGCCATGCCACCAACATGTCTGTGGAAGCATTATATATAATAGTGCAACACTGGAAACATCGGGAATTCCTCCTGGGAGCCTGGGAAGGAAGGAAGGAGAGGTCAGAGGTTGCAACTACAGATGTCACAGTCACTCTACCCCTTTGAGCCTCGATTTCCTCATCTGCAAAATGAAGATAAAACCTACCTTGCAGGATTGTATTGGGAGGATTCAACAGGATAAACTAAATCAGTGGTTCTCAAACTTGGCTGCACAATGGAATCACCATGCCCTCGGCAAATACTGATGCCTGGCGTACTGCGATTTTAAAAAACTCTCCAGGTGACTGTAATGTGCAGCCAAGACTGAGAACTACTGAGCTAAATAAAATGCTGAACACAGCACAGGACACACACAAGGAATTGAATAATATCTATCACGTATTTTTTTAAGATGGAGCACAAATTGTTTTCATTGTTTCTTAAACAATGAAAAAAAAGTTGGTATAAAGGTTGTTGCAAAAATTGGATTTCTGACAGGCTTGTTTCCAGAACTATGAATCATCTGGGATTTGGTGATTATGGGGGTGGGGGAGACAGAGGCAGCGTCTGCTGGTATGACTTGTCCTAACACCCAGCTGAGCTGAACAAGTCAGGGACCAACCTTGATCTAGCTTGCCGTCTACACCACCATCTCCAAGGCATCCTTTGAGTGTGTACATAGCATGGGTGCTTGTGTTTGCCTATTTCTAGGGTTATGGATAGAGGCTATTTTCTCCTCTCCTTGGGTACACTCACCGGGTGGGCCTATACCATGGTGGGCCACTCTTTGTTTCTTGAGTAACCCACGAGTGCAGGCGGCACTTTCTTCTTTATGGAACTTGGTAGCCTTATGTGCTTCGTTAAGTCACAGACCCAGTGATTATTTACCGTGCCCTGCTACTTCTTGCTGAGTGAACCTGGCATGAGGGGAGGACCCGCTCACCCTGGCCTGTAGCTGTGACCACTTGTCATGGTAGCAAGAATGACCGCAGGAGCAGCTCCTCAGCCACCTGTGGTGGCCTCATTGAAGGAGGGAAGGGAGGCAGAGGAACCTGCAGCTGGCTCGCTCCAGCATGCAGCCTTGGGGGTTGGGGAGCAGGCAGCTGATGTCCCTCTAGGATTTTCAGATTTAGCAAATAAAAATAAAAGATGCCCCGTTAAATTAGAACTTCAGATAAATAACAAAAGTTTTTTTAGTATAAGTCCCATGCAGTATTTGGAACATACTTATACTGAAAAATTATTCACGGTTTATCTGAAATTCAAAATTTAACTGCATATCCTTTACTTTTATAAATCTGGCAACCCTGTGCCTGGCCAAACAGCCAAAGAGAACCCAGCACGTGGGAGCTCCTGCCTGCAACGGCCTCCTGCCCGGCGTTGCCACATTCAGCTTCCACCTGTCACTGCCCTGCTCCAGAACCGTGTGTGGCTCCCAGCTGCTTCCACAGTGCAACTTGGACTCCCTGGCTGCTGTGCTGGGCCTTACTCTTCTGCCAGCCCAGCTGCTCTGCTTGGGCTCTTTCCCACCTCTGCTCCTGCTGTCCCTGCTTGGCATGTCTCCTACCCACTCCCAGTAACAATTGCAAACACTTATTGAGCACCTACTGGTGCAGGCACCACACTGAATTCTTCGTTTGCATTGTCTCATTGGAGTCTCACAAAACCTAGTAGGGTAGGGACAGTAGTTACCCTATTTTATCAATGAAGAAACCGATGCTCTAAGACCAGTGATTCTTAAAGTGTGGTCCCTGGGCCAGCAGCAGCAGCAGCACCTGGGAACTTGTTAGAAATGCAAACTCTCAGGCCCTGCCCTACCTCAGACCTACTGAATGAGAAACTCTGGGGGTGGGGCCTAGCCATCTGTATTTTAATAAGCCCCCTTCCCGACCAGGTGATTCTGATGCATGCTGTCTAAGAGATGAAGTGACGGCAGGAGTCTGCTATCTAGGCAGAGGTATAGAGGACCTCCAGGCAGCGTGTTTATGATCTTGCTGAGCACCATGCCTGGGCCAGGCACTGGAGATGCTGCAGCGACCCCACAGCCTTGGGGCGGAGAGGGTTCGGGGAAGAAAGGGAGGAAGAACAGAAAGAAGGAGAATGGGCAGGCAGTCAGGATGTTGCCATGTAAGACGAGGAGGGCTGAAGTGGGCCAAGCCCAGGAACCCATAGCAGGATGGGAGGGGTCAAGAAAAGCTTTCCTGAGTAGATATCTAAGCCTGAAAAATAAGTTGGAATTGGTTAGATACAGAAGGGTGGGGAACAGTGTTCCAGGTGTGGGGAGTAGTTTGTACAAAGGCCCTGCAGAACTACCTAGGGGTTGTTCAGTCTTGAAGATGGAAGGTGAGGTGAGGGGAATGGGCACGGGGTAGGAATCCGATTGTGCAGGGTGATCCTCCGTCCTCAGAGCAAAGGAAGGAACTTTAATGGGTACCGAGAAAAAGCCTTCTGGCTTCCAGGTGGAGCAGACACTAGGGAAGGTAGTGTGTGTGTGTGTGTGTGTGTGTGTGTGTGTGTGTGTGTGTTGGGGTCGGGGGAGCCCGAGATGAGACTTAGGGGGTGCCAGGCCTTCCCCTGCCCCTAGATCCAGGCTGCTTCTGCCCTCCAAGGCATCTGCAGGGACTCAACACCCAATTGCAGCGTTGGGTAGGTGCGTGGTTCCAAGGCCCGCTCTTTCCGGGACTCAGAGGCGGGGCTCTGAGATCGCTTAGCAGCCTCCGCCCCACCCTCGGCCCGGCCCCGCCCACCCACCAGTCCCGCCCCCCGCCGCGGGCCCCGCCCCCCGCTGCCGGCTGAAAGAAGCCAGGCTGTGGGCTGCTGGCCTGGGTTGCTCTTTTCTTCCATGTTCCCTTTCCCTGCTGATGTAGCTAAGGCTACGCGGCCGCTGGGACCTCTTCTCCCAGCCTTTCGGGACGGGTCCTGGATATGGTCGGGGATCCCTAGGCTGGAGGGCAGAAGACTTCTGCGGCTATCCCCTACTCCTGCCAACAAAGCCTTTGGTGCCAGTCAAGGACTGACCCGGCCTGGCCAGGTTGCTTGGCAGTGTGGGCTGTGGCTGGGCAGTTCCCGGCTCCAACTGTCCTTCCCGGAAAAACGTCAGTCTGGCTGAACCCTGGGAACCCGTTTGCGATTTCTAGCTTAGGGAAGAATACTGAAAGATCATTAACCACTGTATGAAGTGGAGCTTTCTGTGTGTCCTAAAATCCCTGCGGACTTACCAGCTGCCCCATGGGCTTGACCTTCAGAAAGAGAACCTCCTATTTTTCCTCTTTTTATTTGGGTATACCTTCTGCCTCTCATCCTCCACCTGGCATCCAGGACCATGTCTCATTATGCTTCACAATTCAAGGAGGGTCTATTGTGGTGCCCTCTACTTAAATAGATGTTCAAAAATATTGT